TCAATAGATTAATCATTAAATTGTTTGCCATCATTAAAATTGGGAAGGAGGACAAGTGAAATTAAAATTACTTTTCAAATTTCTACTTACGAGGATGGGAGCAAGGCCACGCTCTTCCCTCCCTCTTTGCATTAGGATTGCTGTGCAAAATACAGTGCAAGCATTCTGGGACCATAGCCCAGGGAAGCTGAAGATGGGCACCACTTAGCATGCCCTCCAAGGCCATTGGTGCCCTCTCGGTGTATGACTAGCTGGGGCACACAAATCTAGCTACTAGGTCATAAGAAGGCATGTGTGCTGCTGGGTCAGGTGTGCTGCATGTTTTGGTTCAGGATACACACACTGCTCTTCAGCCTTAGCACAAAGAGGCTAGGTAATGGACATAGAGGTAAGGGATGGGGATCACATGGGGTTGAGTAGACCTGGAGAAGTGACATTACAGGAGGTGGTGGGAATTCAGCAAGATGAAGCCCAACAAAATGAGTGGGGGCTATGATCAGTCTGACCAAGACCAGTGAGAGATTCACCACAAGGAGAGGTTAAACTTCAGGCAGTCTCTTCAGGCAGTTTTATCAATAGGAACTCTAAGAGAACTGGTTACAAAAACAAGGAACTGGTTACAAAAACAAGCAGATGATTAACTTGACCAGCTGTTGCTATCTTAAATCTCATAGGTAGGCATGTTTAGGAGAAAACAGGGTTAAATACCTATGCAGTATGACTTTTTTTTTTTTTTTTTTTTTTTTTTTACCCCTTTGAGGACACACTTGCAGTGGGTTTCTGTGCTCACAGTCAGCCTGTGTATAACTGTTCAGTACACCTTACAGTCAGACTATCAGTGCCCCAGTTATAGCTGTGCCATGTCCACTTCTGGTTGTCATGGTGACCTCACACTTCTTCCAAGTTACAAAGATAACAACTTTTGAGATTAAGCTATCTGGGACAATTTCAGAAGTCTAATCTTTATGTAAACAGTTTGAAGCTTTTCCTTCCTAAACGGTAACTCAAGCATTTACTACCTACATAAAAGAGCTTAGCAAGGCCTCTAAGCTCAACTGGGCTGCATGAAGTTTTAATTGAAGAATATGACTCAAAAGGAGACTGAAGTAGATTCAGGATAGCTGCAGGATGTACAAGATATATGCACGCAAGGAAGGAAACCTGAGGTTCAGGGAATTTTTAGGTATTGTTCATGCTGAAATGCAGAAGGTCCGTTTGAGTCATGCAACTAAGAGACAGATTTTGAATCTCGGTGATAAACTTGGTGGCCTACATGGAGATACAGATTAATTCATTTTAGGTGCCCCTAGGGACATGGTAAGTACATGTGGTTCTGGCACGTGCAGTCACGGAGAGGTAATGGTGCTGAGCTGCAGATGGCTAAAGAGCCCAACTCAGGGTGGGGCACCTACGGAGCCTTTTCATCAGTGCATGGGATTTGGCAATCCTGAGGCTTGCTCTTGCCAAGAACTGGATTTCTGAAGAGATTCTGTTACATGCAGCCTTCCTCCAGGGTATATGACTGAAGTTCATCGTAGTTACCTGTAAAGTTTGCTGAATCCAAACACTGCCTCCTCCTTCCCCCCAACACCCCTCCATCCCACACACATGTATGCACCACATTATAGGTACATTAGTATGCTTACTGAAAGTGTTGCTCTGTATCAGCAATTCTGTTTGAAGTGTAATAAATACCCAGCTGCAACTTGTAACAGTACTATTTATTTTCACATTTTTTTTTATTTTTTTTTGATGCAAAGGTTAAAACATTTAGAACAAAATCAAGAAAATACAAAGCTAAGGTAATAGGATTGTTCTAGAATATTATCAAACAATAACAAACTGCCAAGCACTACTGCAGTGTCTATAGGATACTTTTTTTCTCAGTTTCTTGCAAAGGAGTAATTGCCCCAAGGAACTCATTGCATTATATCCAGGAATGCAATTCAAAAGATTTAAATGCTATATCTCTCCCTTCACTGATGCTATTAATTGGTTTTGAGACACATCCCCATTTTGTCATTTCTGAAGGTGAAGGCTGTTCTGTGTTTTGTTAATGATGACAGCATTGCTGAGAAAAAGGAAGGTCTAAAATATTTAACTTTAAGAACATGACAGATAAAATAACCTGTGGGGTCCTAATAATCATCAATCACAATGTAAGAGATGACAAGGTGAAATTTCTAAGATGACATTTTGTCACTTGGGGTAGTCACTTAAACTGACAAAAGCTATACATTCTGCTCTGCAGCTTCTTTACTCTAATTGGGCCAATTTTACTATCATGCTGTTATCTTGCACAGCAGAACTGGTGACAAACAAAGAGGCTTTTGTGATCTCGGTTGAATATTTTTCCATGAGCTCAAGAAAATATCTTCATTGCCAAAAGAGAATGAAAATTGTCCCTGTATTTTGTGACTGGCCAGAAGCCCAGGGATCATGTCTGCCTGGAAAACAAGTCTAATCTGTATTTTAGTTCCTGCTTGCTTATCATGGGATCATGCAGAAAGGGCCACAAGTCAAGGGAACTATAATTGCATTAGGGATTTCTCCTGTTATGTGTTGAAATAAACTTTCCTCAGGATATGATGGAGGAAAAAGAGGAATAAACTTCCATTCCCTCACTCTTCATGATTTTGGCAGTCTGCTTTAATTTTGCCTTATTTTCTATTATGCAGTATCACATAAAAATTCCCTTTAAGCATATACCAACACGAAACTTGATTGTGTTAGCACATGCTTCAGTGTGGTTATTGGGAAACTTATTCCCTTTAGAAAGTTTGAACTTTGGAAGAAAAGTTAACACCAATGGCTACATGAGAGCATTAAAAAGGATCTGTAAGTCGTTGATGTAGTATTACATTAGAAAATGCTTATGTTTTAACATTCAGAAACTTTGTGCTAAAAATGTAGTAATGCACAGTGTTAATATGGAATAAAATTATACTGGAGTCACTGGGCATATATCCAGCTGATGAAAAGTACTGTAATTTCACAGAAGTGTTAAGTCATTTAAATGTACTTCCGAAGAACAGTAGGTTATTATAATAAGCATTTTTTTTTTCTGATTGACAGAAGTAGGAAAATGCTATTATTAATGCTTTCCATGCCTTGGATAAAGATTTCATTTGTTTTCATCCACTAAACAAAATGCTTATATTCATTGCTTTGGAGACACTGAAATTGGAAAACTAAGAGTAAATATTTCCCTCGATCCTTTAGCGCATTTAACTCTCCAGAGTTCAGATTAAGAGGTGGTGGACAGTAGTTAGTCATAAACATGCATAAGGCATCAAAAAATCTTAAGTCAGAATACCAAAAACATTATGTTGGTGTCTCTTTGGCTGAGGTTATGTCTGCTTTCTCAGTATTTAATTATTATCCATTTCCCCATCTGTGTACATTACAATTACCACGATCCTGACATCAGTGAGAGCTGTTTTGTTAGCTGAGAGCTCTCACATCTCATTGCCACATACCCTGCTGTTAATCCTGCCTTCCCAAACCTCCAGGCCAAGTTTCTCTCCTTTATATTATATTAATGCTGTTTTCAACATAAAGTATGGTTAGTCTCCAAACTCTGCAGGTACTTGGTTCTCATTTAGCTCTACCTGAACCTAGTGCCCATTTTACCTCCAACCCACCCATGCCACCACTGTTGCTCCTTAAGTTATGACTTCTGATACATCATATCTCAGAGCCCTGCTGCTCTGTGGCCTCCTTCAAGCCCATCGCAGAATCACAGAGTCACAGAATAGCTGTGGTTGGATGGGACCTCTGGAGGTGTCATGGTCCAACTCCCCTGCTCAAGCAGGGTCACCTACAGCAGATAGTCCAGGACCATGCCCAGACATCTTCTGAAGATCTCTACAATCTTTGTGGGCAGCCTGTGCCAGTGCTCCATTACCCCATAGTAAAGTGCTTTCTGATGTTCAGACAGAACCTCTTGCATTCCACTATGTGCTCATTGCCTCTTGCCTCGTCACTGGGCACTAAAAAGAGCCAGGCTCTGTCCTCTTTGTACCTTTCTTTCCAGTATATATAAACATTGATGAGATTCACCCAAGCCTTCTCATTTTCAGGCTGAACAGTCTCATCTCTCTCAGCCTTTCCTCACAGAAGAGGTACTCCAATCCCTTCTTCATCAGTTCTGCCCTTTTTTCTGTACCCAGAGAAGCAACCACAGCTCTTGTTCTCATACATATTCTAAATTGTGCCACCCCCAAGTCCTGTTCTGCTGTCTCCCAGCCCATTTGCCCTGCTCTCTGCTCCATCTCATCAGTCCTTTCTGTACCTCACTCCTATTTGTAAGCTTCCCACAGCTTTGCTTCTCTTTCTAAGCTCATCACGTCTCTTTTAGAAGCAGGTTGAAAGCCTCAGCAGGTTTATATCTCCCTCTTAGGCTGGAGTAATTTCCTTCATTCTCAGGAGGGGAGAGGTGCCAGAGCTCCCTGAGCAGCTCAGTATTTCTTCTTATTCCTACCCCTTGTCCTGGGCTTTTTACTGAAAAGACAGAACAAATTGCTGAAACCTGAAAGACAGGATGCCATCCTTATGGGATAAACTGAACACAGCTAAAAAAGCTGAGTTCTTAAATGCAACTTACTGCAAAAGAAGTGCATCAACAACACTCAGAATTTTTAGAGGTAAATTATATCAAAATCCTAGTATTTGGCTAATAGCAAGAATGGGATGAAAAAGGTTGCCTAAAGCAGGCACAAAAAAAAAATTAAGCTCATTAAGGAGCTACAAGAAACTTTCAATTCTGAAGTTGGAATACTTTGCATAATCAAAGATACACTGTAGATTGGTACTGGAGGCTCATAATGAGGACATATGCTTTAATGGCACAAAACATTAAAATGCATGATTAAGAAATGAAATGTATTATGGAAGATTCTGTGTGTAGTAGCATATATTATGGCAGAAAATTCTACAAGGAGAAGGCAGGACTTTAAAAATGTTTTAAACAATACTGACACAAAGTAATATACTCAGTATTTGGCAGTGCGTTATATCTTTATTTAGAACAATAAAGTATATGTATATAATGTAAATTCCAAATTTGAACTGGTATAAAAAAGGATCAGGGAAAACATCTGTCTTTAAGAGGACATATATATACACACATCACATTATATAAATTTTGTTGATTACCATCAGTCAGAATATAACTATGCAAGACTGTGCTGACATTTACATCAAAATAAATGAATTTGCCCATGATACAACCAGCAAACATCTGTGTCTCTATCACTAAAGAGTCTGAAGTTTCCGCGTTCCATCACTTTGATAACATAATAGCAACATGCCACCATTATTGTAGATCTGCATTCACTAGACAGTTGAATCAGATTCCTGAACAGAAGAATCTTGGATAATTCTTAAATGTAAATCTAACTCAAAATATCTGTATTTTATATGTAAGGTTAGCTTTTCAATTTAATAGTTGTACTATGTGTACTGAACAGTTTCAGTGTATTACAAAGAGAGAGCAACAGAGAAAACAGAGCTGGTGAAGAATAGAATCTAAAAACTGTGCAGGTTGTACACATACTCCATAGTATAGCACATTAGTTGTTCATAAGCTTACTTATCCAATGACCTTGTGATGAAATAAGTACCATTAATTTATTCAAGTAAACACACATCTAAAATAGCACATTGAGTTACTCAGTATATCACTATCTGCTTTTTATTCTCACAAGGCCACTATTAACTGCATGCAAAGTTCAACTACTCCAAATGAAACCTAAAAAATTTAATTTCTCACAAAACCACAGATATCTGAAACCCAAACTTTTAACTCTCATAGAAAAAAGAAAATACAACACTCACTTCTCCCCAACTTCATTTTAAGAGAAAGGGCATAAATTTCTAACTGAGTTAATAATGCACAGGCTATGTCTACCCAAAAACAAGATCAAAGAACTGATCACTCTTCAGAAGTCAGACAGGTTACAGCTGGATAAAGAAGCAACTAAGGGACTATTTCTGCTGCTACTATTCCCACAGAATAGTAACTCATCCTACTTCCACTGATTTCAAAGATGACTCATAAGTCAGTAGTTTTTCAAAATTTAACTACATCTGAAGTAAGAGCTTCCTTGATGGGTAGACAAAATGGGCACAGAAGCATTCAAATAATTTCATGCTCACATTTTCAAGTGCCATGACATCCATTGTCTTTACAAATGTCTAGAACTGTCCTTCTACCTTGCAAAATGACTGAGACCACCTAATATTTTGTACAAATCTCTCAAAAGTGGGTAGGAAGAACAGGGAAAACATGAGCTCTAACAACAGTTTTGCTAGTCTGTGTTGTATTATGTCCAGTGTATGTACAAAATAAAAACAGGTTGTGATGTCAAGTTGGAAGGTATATACATGAACTTTCTTTCACTTCACACGTAGCCTTAAATTTGCCTTGATCTGCAGCAGAGATTAAAGTACATGACATTATCTAAAAGTGACATAGCTACTATTTTAAGATGTTACTCTTAGAACATGAATGTTTTGCTACTGTCTATCTGGGTTTAATGTATGTTTCAATTTAAAGCTGATATTTTGTATTTTACTATTGAACAGGTAGAATGAATATTAAGGAGTCTAAAACATCACACATTTTGAATGTCAAACTATAATTTAAGGCACCCCAATGTGCAATGTAACTGTGTTTTTGATTTGCTGGAAAATATGTATTTAGGAAAACTAACATTCTTATAAACAAGTAATATTAATAAATACCTTTTTTTTTTTTTTTTTTTTTTTTTTTTTAAATGAATCATTGAAAAATACTGTAAAACTTCAAATGTATAAACTTGCTTTGAGAATGTATAGTATAGCAACATGAAATATTTAAGTTTTTTGGTAAAATGTGTAAGGATAATTGCTTCCACTTGATATGGATAATTTTCATTTCTTTCAAAACTTATCTGAAGTTATTCTCCCCCTTACCATCAATTAGGTCATGCTGACATTTCTTTCAAGGTAAATCTTAAATAAGTTTAGAGGTCTAGTGAGTAAATAACTACACATTTTCAAATGAGACTGAACTGCTAATGGATAATTCTGACTGATTTTTGCAGAGCTAAAATTTGAAATGTGTTCGTTTTTTAGAAGCGGTGGGCAATCCTTCTCACAATTATTTCTTGTTGAATGGTGAGTGCTCCAGCATCTTCTGAATAAAAATGAAGGCCTAATTCTCATACTGAGCTTCTTTAGAACAGAAGTTCCTGAGATGATGCAAACTTCAAAGCTCTGTTAACATTAATGGAACTGTGTTAATTTGTATCAGTTGAGCAGGACTGGAGGGCACTTTTCTGACACTAAGTCAGGGCAAAAAGGCCTTTGTATAAATGGTAATGATCCACATGGTAATAAAAATTGATCCATATGATCATACCTTGGTATCAGTGAATTCAAGAGAAATTTCACCATTGATCTCAGTAAAAATGCCATTCAGGGTGTCTACATGCACACATCAAACATCTGAGTTAATTTTTTTCTTTTGGTGAATATGAAAGCCAAATGAATTTTACTAATAATACAGTTGTGCAAACACACACATATTATATATAGGTTATATACTTTTTATGCATGGTTCTCAGGAAATTTAGCAGATGATTAAAAATTCCACTAGAATTCTTTAAAAATTAAGTCCATGTACAAGCAGCATTTGGACAATGCTCTTAGATACGGTTTAACTCTTAGGTTTCCCTGTGTAAAATCAGGACTTGATGATTCTACAGGGTCCTTTCTAGCTCAGGATATTTTATGAATCTACAGTTAAGTTATAGTATACTTTAAAGAGAATTACAACTTTCTGTGAAACGAGCTGTGTTTTTTTTTTTTTGTTTGTTTCTTTTGTTTTTTAGAGTTTTTTCAAGTAACTCAAACTAAAACTCTTATCGACCTTGACAATTTGAAGTGAGTTGCCCTTATCTTCTAAACTGAAACCCCTAATACAGATAAGTGATTCATATCCATTATCTGGAAAGAGACAGGATGAAAATATGCACAACTGCACTGGTAAATTATACCATTGTAATTTTAGGATTTACTTGAAAATGCATATGTGTACCTCAATCCTGTACAGATTCCATGGATGCTATAGCAGCAATAGATATAGAAGGCAAGTGAGAAATAAAGCCTTTCCCTTTTGTTTTAGGGAGAATTAACCTTAAGAGTGGAGAATGCCAGGATATTAAAGCTTAATAATCATTCAAAAAACAATGCAAATGTTAATTACAGCTGATGTAAGTAAAAGCTAAAGACATTCTCAGGATCTTTCAGATTTTCTATGCTATACATTTAAAAACAAGATATTAATGGCATGCATCTTCAGCATTTAAAATACATTTCATAGGTTTGTCTTTATTCTGATGTTTGAACGCAGTTCAGACTCTTTACTTTCTCTTCCCTTGGCATGGCTGGAAATTTCACCAGTGTTCATGTATCCAGCAGTTACTCCTAATGGTTCAAAGCTCAATGATGTATTATCACCTCCTGTTTACTTTGTCTTCATCCAGTATTTGCTTCTTCTGAGCAGACACCGCCAAAGCTGATGAATTCTTGAGGCTTTCTGGGGCAGGCATACAGCCACCTGGCATCCAACAGTGACCACATGTTTCTGTACACATGACCTTTGCCAGGCATAAACCCAGTTCCTTATAAGTAAAAGGCTACTACACTGGTCCATGGCATGACTTTACTTTCAAGTTTTATATACAGTATTGAAGAGTATGTTATCTGTATCCATTTCTGTGTTTTCTGTCAGTTCAGAGAACTCCATTTGAAGACACCAAGGTAAGGTAGAGGACACAGAACTTAAATTAAGGATGCAAAGGTATTTATGACTTTCAGTGATTACAGATAGTTGGAGGCATTTGAAAGATGCATTTTTTTCAGGACATGTACTTTGTTTGCCAGAGTCAGCTGCAAGTATTAATGCAAGTTAAAATCCCCAAATGCAACGTAAGGTAGATATTCACATAAGATACAGCCCTGCTAAGTGCACACTCTTCTTGTCGTTGTTCAATTCAGTGTTGGTTTCACAGTAAGAAACACAAATTGTCCTCATACTATGTCATGTCTATGGAGTCATGGGCAGCAACAACAGATGCAGACTCAGTCTGTCACTCCAGAAGGAATATGAATGTGCTTAAAGCTGCTTCATTTATGAAGCGAACATGTAACTGTTACCTGCCTAAAGAGAAAAATGGAAATTACAATTTTGCTGATTGGTATCTCTGTATTGCCAAACAGTAGAGCTTTTCACAGATATATAACACAGACATTTTTTCTTATAATTATGGAAATAGATATATTCCAAGACACTTGCATGGCATTCATTTATTTAGAAACAAAATATATTGTTAATGAGATGTATTTTCAATTTCATGCCAACTCCTGTCCAAGAACACACTTACCAGCAAAAGCCATTAATATCTAGTTGACAGTGATAAGATAACTTTCATGGTTTTACAGAATTGTTACATTTGTGCAGGGCTTTAAAGTGTTCTGGACAACACAATATCAAATGAACTTACCATTTTTTGAAAAATAAGTGACTGGTTCAATGCAGTGATGATTTCCCTTTTTAGTGAGCAGATGTTAGAATAAATTAGCTAGGGAGACTGAAAGTGGCTATGAAGATAACTACAAACAGTTCGGAACAGACCTGAGAGTGCCCGCTGCTGGGTACACTGGAAAGCCTGGACTGCCAGTTGTACTCTGATGCTTGCTCCTTCCACTCTGACATAAAATAAACCATTCAGCACTGCCTGAATCTTCCAGACCTTTGCTGGAGAGGCCATCCACAGGCTAAGTAAAGCCCTAGTCCTGCAGAAGAAGCCCCTTGCCAGAGATGTGCTCCTATATGTAGAGGACTGCTGGGACTGAGAAAGTTCACTTGTGTTCGCTGCTCACTCTTATACACAAACACAAGAATGATGGATCTGATAAGGCTATGGAGACCGCAAACTGTGTTGTGTAAACAACTGAAAGAAGCTCAGCTCTATCCTGCTATTTTAAGGATTTTGTTTTTTAGGTCATGCTGCTTTGAAACAGCTGTAGAAGAAGAATTCTCTGTATTGGCTGTCAAAACCAAGAGAGAAGCAGTAGCTGAATTTTGAAATTCTGTCATTTTTCATTTTGTAATATTTACATTAACAGCCAAATACCTAAATTATTGATTCAGGATTAGGAGCTAAAGACCTTCAGGTGCAAACAAAGCCTACTAATAACAAGTTTTATTTCTTTTCAACAGACAAAAGTTAAGCTTGTGTTAGGACTTTAACCCATACGAACTTACCAGTACATGAAACAGTAACAGTGTTGAGGGAGAAAAAGCAATGGCTACACTTGTAGATGTTCTTTTTCTTTCTGCTGCAACATCCTGAAATAAAAAATAAGTACTTTGTTACTACAGTGCTAGTACTATATGTACTATTACTACAGTTTCAAGGAATTAGAATGGAAGTTTTTATCAGTTAGTTACAATAAAAACGTTTACACATAACAAAAGTGATGTTTGTAATTTAACTGAAATTATTAAAACTTATGTTTGCTAATATGTTCTTCCTACTTATAGATGAATTTTCCAAATTTCTTCATGAAGAGGGAGCAAAAATGTACATATATGTAAGAAGTCTTCATGTGTAAAATGTAACCTGTTTAAATTTTCCTTTTAGGGCAATGTCCTGCACTTAACTAATTGTTCAATTTTCATCTTTTGTCTTTCTCCTGTAAAGCAATGCTTTGTATTTCCTGTGAAGTTAGAAGGAAGATTCATGTTCCATTTCATGTGTTTTAATACCTGTGAGGATGAGGTGTAGGATGAGTTATTTTGAGCAACTAATATACTTGGTAAATATGCAGTCTTCCTTTCTATGAATGTTCATGAAGAAAAAATATTTTAAGTATGTGTGATTCTAGAAAGTGTAAACTCACTTCTTCCATTAAACATTGAAACTTGCAGCACAAGTGACCAAAAGTGCTAGATCAGAACCTTCTCTATTCCTGCCTTCATCTATGGGCAGCATGAGGCATTTCACAAAATATGAGAAGCCTACAGTATAAGATGTGTTCTAACATAGACATGTTAGAACAAGTTCAGAGGATGGCCATGAGGATGATCAGAGGGCTGGAGCCTCCTATGAAGACAGGCTGAGAAAATTGGGGTTGTTCAGCCTGAAGAAGAGAAGGTTCTTTGGAGACTAGCCTTCCAGTGCCTAAAGGAAAGCTGAAGAGGGACTCTGTAAGGGATTGTAGTGATAGGACAAGGGATAATGGCTTTAAAGTAAAAGAGGGTACATTTGGATTAGATATTAGGAAGGAATTCTTCACTCAGAGAGTGATGAGGCCCTTGAACAGGTTTCCTAGAGAAGCTGTAGATGCCCCATCTCTGCAAGTATTCAAGGCCAGGCTGGATGGGGCTTTGAGCAACCTGGTCTAGTGGGAAGTGTCCCAGCCCATGGCGGTGGAGGGAGGGTGTTGGAACTAGATAACCTTTGAGGTCCCTTCCATCCTAAACTGTTCTTTGATGTCTTGACCCAAGTCATGTTCAAGCAACGTTGAATATCTTCTATTGTTATTTCTGGGTTTGTCGAATTGACTGAGTTATACAAAATTATTTCAGCTTTAAAAAGAGATAAAGCTGTGTTTAAGTATGAATAGAGCAGCAAATCATTTCAGGATGACCTTATGAAGTCATTAGGAATATAATCTCAATGGCTTCTATGAAAGTTAAAAAACAAACAAACAAACAAGCAAACAAAACTAGAAAACAGTATAACATACCAAGGGGAGTGTCAAAAGATGACAAAATGTGAAAAACGTTACTGCAAGACAGATTTAAAAGGATTTAGAAGTACAACTAAGAAGATGCTGTTTTCTTTTTGTTTGCTTAATATCAACCTAGTTTTACACCTTACAATAACAAATTCACTTCTCTGTCATTTCTTTTACAGGTCTCAGTCATCCTGGGTTTACTTCATTCTACCCAAGTAAGATACTCCTTTGAAGCTGCTGCTTTTCATCACTATTCCTTACTCATGGTGGGAGGAAGGACAGATAAAGGGAAGGTAATGCCTCATTAATAAAATGAGGTATACAGAAATATCCTCCATATAAATTCTTACTTTTCAAATAGGAGCTCCTTCAAAGGACACAACCTAAGCACACATTTTGACTCTATAGCAAAACACTTGATAATGCGGTTTGGTTTTGTGACATGATTGTCATTCTGAGAGCTGAAGAGGAACCTTCAGTAAGCATCTCTCAAAGACGAACTTACATTTGTATATATGTGTGTAAAGTGAAACATTATACCTTATCTCATTTTCCTCTTGACAGCCATGACACTCTGTAGTTTCATCACTCTCTGGTCTGGATTTGGGATGTGTTTTCTAGAAGAAAAAAAATGCATTAAATGTAAAAATTTTAACGCTTCATTAAAAACTCACAAAACAATTGTATGTTTCAGTTTGCTTCAGAATTTCAATATCAAAATCATTTTGCAAAACATAGGCCAAATCTTATGTAGGCCACATCTCCTACTCCAATAATTTTAAAATTAAAGCCTTTGTATTGTAGGTAAGCCACAATAGCTAAAAGTAAAAGAATCCTTCTCATGATATAATAGAAGAACTGAGAAATTGGGTGAATCCCGTTTTCAATTTCCAGTTAGAGAGCTAGCATGCTGCTAAGACAAGATTTACAGTTTGGTGATGGAACTGAAGTATTTCACAAGAGATTTACATTTGCATGTCACACAGTTCAGTGAAGATCAGAAGAGATGTCTCTTGCTTTCACATGCAGAATTGTTCTGTTTTTCCTGCCTCTGTATAACTATGAAATATGCAATGTAAACAATCAAATGTAGTATTTCTTACCTTCCAATATATGGCTCCCAAAATAAAGCCAATAAGAAGAGACAGTAATGATGTCAATGCTATGCTGATCCCTTGAAGGCTGGAGCTGCTAATGAAGCCAAGTGCCTCTTCTGTAATTACAGATGTTCTCGTTAGGGAAGACAGATTTATGGCAGAAAACTATCTTCAGGGCAACACTATTAGTAAGAGCACTTTTATGCACCACCTACATAACAGCTTCTTAAATAGCAGAAGAGATACTTCAAAGTACTGTGTACAAGAGATGCATTTCATACAAAATCTCACAGAAACTTTTTTGACCACAAAGATGCTCCTCCCATTTCTGCAATTGTTCTGTTTAATAGTTCCAAGACTAATTATCCTTTTGTCATTTGTAGAGCATTTTCTCCTTCCTTTACTTAAAAGTTTTGGATATATCAGTTTTTAATAGTCTTATTTTGTAACACAACGTAATTTTTTGAAGAGAAAATATCTGCCACTTCTAAACACTCACTTCATGTATTTGCTTAAGTTCCATAAGACACATCCTACTGACTGCAGATAGACATTCTGCCTTTCCAATAATGAACCTCAACACGAGGCCTCTCAAGCGAGGTTATTTTAACAAAATAAGCCTGAATTCACTTCTAATGTGTGCCTGGAAAGGTCCTGCTGACTTCATTAAGATCAAACCCTTGTAAGTTGAAGTCTAGCTGTGTGCTATTTTGTTGCTACCATTTTTTGACAGCTTTTTACATTTCATATGGAAGAGCCCCAATCCTAGTCTTTTATGTACACAGAATCACAGAATCACAGAATTTCTAGGTTGGAAGAGACCTCAAGATCATCGAGTCCAACCTCTGACCTAAAACAATTACACAAGCAATTACACAAGTACACAAGCAATTCCATTCCCCTCACAGACAGCTGTGTGCCTGCCAAGACTAAAATGAGGCTATCCAGTTATTTAATCAAGAGCAGGATGTGAAAAGTCCTGTGGAGTCACCCTGGGATCCACCTTCTGAAATACAAAGTGAGAAGCAGGAAACTGCCAGTTTAGACACCATCCACTCAGTTTTAGTTGATATCATGATTTGGAGTCTGCAGCTCAAATGGTGTGAGTATTGTCAGCTTATAGGAAAACAACTAAACTAAGCACAGGAAAAGTGTAGATGATTAGATATAGAAATAAAAATGGAATGATAGCACTAGAAATTTTTGTGACTCATACAAACAGCAAACTTCTAAGCACATATAGTATGATATACTGTGTCAATTGATGTGCATTTAGTACATTATTAAACAGCCACTAAGAAAACACTTCAGAAAGGAGCATTCGCATAATATCTGGAAACCTATTTTCAAATCTCTGAGTTTTTCTGCAAGTCATGGTAGACGTTTTTACACAAACACTCTTTTTATCTTTGAAATCCATCCATGTTTACATAGTTACCACAGGGAGAACTACAAAATAAGAAAACAGAAAGTCTGCACCCCATTATTATGCACCATTTACAAGGCTCTAGATTCCTATGATAGAGGTTTCAATTTTACTTACATCCAGTAGACTCATCATACTAAAAGGCAATATTGGTCAAGCAGAATAGATAATAGTCTGCTGTGAAAGAAATCTGTCTACAAAGGATAAGGGAAACAAAGTTCTACAGAGATGAATGTCAGTTGAAAAGAGGCTATTAATTAATCTGCCTTTGTCTGCTCAGACATTAAAACCAAGTGCAGAAATTAATGGGAAGGGCATATCTTTTATCAAAGTCTGTTCTAGGTTAGGTATAGAGGAGGTTGACTTACAGAACTGAATCTGGCAAAGGCAGGTAGTGTAGAGAGAGCCTGAACAGATTAAAAAACATTGACATTATTTATGAGACTTATATTCTCAGAAGAAAATTCCTATACTGTTCTTGTGTTTTAGTCAAGAAAAGTTAAATGCTTTTTTTCTTGATCACATTAGCCATTCTTCCCAGTGTGAGACTGCTCAGTTATACAACTGAATTTATGGTGATGGTCATGTTTCCTGGATTCTGCCTGAAGTTCAGAAAAAAAAAAAAAAAAAAAAAAAAAAGGAAAAGTGAGATAAAAATCAGAGGAAAAACTCTTCATGTCACATGAAGATTAAGCCATTTGATAAGATGTTATAGCAGTGTGTAAAACCTCAAAAAACATCTGACTGCAATGCCAGCCTGCTGATTTTTATGTAAACTTCTTGAGAAATTGTGTGCATTCAGGGAGATCATTGTTAGTCTGGCATGCTGATTTTTACAAATTTTCAAAAAATTTAGATTTTCTTAAACAACAGAAGAGTTTTCTTTACAATGAGGCATCTAAAAGTGGAACAATCTGATTTTGAGAAGATATCTCCAATACAGATGCTTTCTTCAGCATCTATGGAAAGGAATCATAGAATCACAGACACATGTAATGGTTTGGGTGGAAAGGACCTTAACGATGATCTAGTTCCAAGGATGCCATGGGCTGGGACACTTCCCACTAGACTACATGTAGGTTGCTCAAGGCCCCATCCAGCCTGGCCTTGAACACTTGCAGGGATGGGGCATCTACAGCTTCTCTGGGAAACCTTTGCCACAGCCTCTGAGTGAAGAATTTCTTCCTAATATCTAATCCAAACCTATCTTCTTTTACTTTAAAGCCACTACTCCTTGTCCTATCACTACACCCCCTGATAATGAGTCCTTCCCCAGCTTTCCTGTAGGCCCCCTTTAGGTACTGGAAGGCCACTTTGAGGTCTCCCTGGAGCCTTCTCTTCAGGCTGAACAACCCCAATTTATTCAGCCTGTCTTCATAGGAGAAGTGCTCCAGCCCTTTGATCATCCTCATGGCCCTCCTCTGGACTCATTCTAATACTTCCATGTCCTTCTTATATTGGGGGCACCATGAACTGAACACAGTGCTCCAGGTGGGGTCTCACAGGAACAGAGCAGAGGTGACAATCACCTCCCTCGCCCTGCTGGCCATGCTGCTTTTGATGCAGCCCAGGATACAGTTGGATTTCCAGGCTGCAAGTGCACATTGCCAGGTCATGTTGAGCTTTTCATCAACCAACACTCCCAGGTCCTTCTCCTCAGGGCTGCTCTCAATCTATTCTCCACCCAGCCTGTATTTGTGCTTGGGATTGCCCCAGTCCAGATGCAGTTGTCCTTGCACTTGTCCGTGTTGAATGTCATAAGATTTGCACAGGCCCACCTCTCAGTGAATAGTTTTATTATAATTATTTTTCCTTCAGTAGAGACCTTTACCTCTGTTAGAAAATTGAACTAAAACAGCTCTATACAGCTCTATACTAAAAACATTCCAACTCCTGATGGTTGTGAAGGCAGAGCAGGATAAGGAATAGGAGGAACCAGATGGTTTGGTAACTGTGAACTTCTTGGGCAACGCCAGAGGAACTTCTGGCTCTGCAGTTGGTACATTATTCACTTGAAATAGACCCTATCCTGCAAGGTGCTAAAGCGGAGTGGAAGCAGGCCAGCACCTCTCCAAGCTCTCACTTCACACCTTGTGGAAGAATCCTTTAGGAAGTGAGATCATTTGAAGTAGATTCATTTATAATCTTCATGGACAACAGGATGTTAAGCTGTGATTGAAATGCATTTACATTGAAAGCCACTGAGCTACACAATGAAGTTATTCAGCTGCTTTCCACCTTGAGCCATGTATGTAGGTTTAGTAAGCAATTATGATTCCAACCACCAGCTAGATTTTATTACCATTTATGTCTCAAAGGAATTTTCACTTTACCTCTGCTAAGCTCCAACACAATTACCAAAAGATCTTATCTACAAAAATGTAGAACAGCTCTCACCTGTTCATTAGGGTTTGCCATTAACTGTAAAGGTGGAATAAAGGAACAAAGGCACAGAATGCAACACCAATTGCATTAAGCCATGCGTAATATTTTCAAATTGTTGTGCAATTACTGAATTAAACTACAGTATTCTTTGCTTAATTATAAAAATCGACCTTCTCTCTAAAAACACTTCTATAGGTCTCAGTGTTTACAGAGCACACGTTCTTTGAGCTGTTCAGTACTGAATAATAAAGCTTAACTATTGTAAGGAAACTATAGGCAAAAAATGGAAGAAAGCAACACTGAACCTTCCATAAAAATATAAATTGTGCCATAGAAACAAGGTGCTAATGTGAGAAGTGTTATTAACAGCTGGCAAGTTCAAGTTTAAGCTGGGAAACATGAGATTCATTTGGTGGGGTGAAAAAAAAGAATACTATCTACTGCTTGATTCAAGCACTGAAACAAGAGATGAAGTTCAAGACCTCTTATCCTGACATTTGTTCTTTACATAGGAACCACCTCATCTGAATTCTCTAGACTATGCATGGGATAATGATCCAAATAACACCAATGGGACTTAAACAGTTACTCAGAATTTAAATTGGATTACAGTTATGTAGAACCAAGAGAAGAAAACATAAATATCCATTTTACATTTAGTTAGGATAAGATTTTTGGTGTAGATCTTGTCAGGGCTCACCTCTATTACAGTAGTTCAATTCTGTCATTGTGTAATAATGATGAAGTAATGAAATATGACTTGCAATAAATGTAGCAGCAACACGAGAAAAAATGTAAGTTAGCTAATTTATATTATATGCAATTCCTATGATAATTCTTTCACAAATGATTTTATTAGATGATTTTCTTAAGGTTTGCCTAAGTTGAATTTAAAATCAGGAGCAATTCAAGTCATCTGGCTCTCTAAGCAGACATTCATAACAGATTCCATATTTATTATTCATCTGGAAGGATTCTTTTGTAAACAGTGAATGCTTCTCAATAGCTTAGAAACCATTAATTTTAAATAGATCATTTTAAATAGATCGTTTTAAATACGTTTAATAATAAAGAGGGTTATTTAAAAGAAATGCATTGTTTTGTGTCTAGGGATGCCTTTTTTCAGGTTTTCTCTCTTCTCCAAATATATGCGTTTCTGAATTTTGAATCTAGTTGTATTGTTCTGAGAATAGACCTGCAGCTGGCAGACTGAGTCCCCTGTGCTGAGGGTTCTCCATGTGGAAAGTAGTAAGGATTATTCATTTTTTTTCCTTCTAGGAAGGCAGGGATTAATTAAAAAAGAGAACTTACTCAGCAGTAAAGCCAAAACAAACCTAAAATTGGTGCCGAAGACCATTCTCTGGCAGTAAGAGAGAGAGGCCAGTAAAGATGTCACAGGTCTTTTACCCCAAAAGCTCCAAACTAATAACAAAAGTGTAACCAGTCAGCATCCAATCTCCAAGTTAATGTAATTTAATCTGATTATGCGTTCAAACTGTCCCCAGCCCTAGACATTCAGTCTTTGTCATTTCTACATAAGGCTGTTAACTGCTATCCAATTTTCAAATAAATTGCTTAAGATAATGTTAATCGGTTAGAATACACCTTACAGCATATGGCCAGCCAAGCAATTTCTTTGACTTACTGCATTACTTTAATTTACTTAGGCTTTTTTTTTTTTTTCCTACTTCATTATCAGTTCCAGTTATAAAGCAAGATTAATGAGCCTGTTTCTGTACTCCTGTTCACAGTAGAGACACAGATGCCAATTCAGAGGTTGGAGCCCTGGCCTCTATCCGGTGTCCCTCTTGTTACTCTGATGGGTCAAAACTCCTTTCATCTGAACTGCTTCTGTAATCTCTTTCTATCTTTCTTTGGCTCCTTGATCCATTCTCATTGCTTCAGGCTGCATTTGAATATTCTTCCTCTCATAGTTACATCAAAAATTATTACATGTTCAGACCTGAGATGCAGTTATGCACTTTTTAGCCCCCTCCTTGTGCCTCACAATTGGCTCTGGGCTCATAAGGTTATTTGCAGCCAGCTGTGTGACCTCTTGGATATGAATTTATGGCAGTGAGATTTCCCTTTTCCAGAGAGGCAAGCTGGCAGCCAGGAGTTGAAGGCAGATTTTATTCCAACCTTCTTCTCAGAGTACTGGGGAGTGATAGCTTCAGACCTTGTGTTAATTAGAAAGCAACCAGAAGGGCTTTCAACCTGACAACTGCTGTAAGTTAACTAAGAGGTAGCATACACGGTTATGAAAACCCAGAGAATAACTAGATTACACATTTGCAAGTGAAGTAGGAAGAGAAGAAATCCATTCTTAGCAGTATCTGTCCCACAGTCAGGAGCTTCCATTGTGCCTACCAGGCTGTACCAGGCTGCCTCCTTGGCTATGCTTTCCTCAGCATGAGGAGCATCAGCCATACACTTCAACATCACACGTTCAGATAATATGGGTGTTTGTGAAATGAAAGAGGGAAATAGTAAATAGGGGTGCACACTGTCATCCTGATGTGTCTGGGAGAAAGGAACAAGGGAAACAACATGTATGATAAGATTTAGGCACCATTTCAAGAACCTCTAAGGAAAAACCCCTCCTTCAGAAAACTCCAGAGAGTATTCACATTGTTGTACATTATGTCACTAAAGTCCCCTGAAAATCTGTTATTTCTCTTCACTTCAGGTTCCTGTATCCTTTCTGACCTTTGATGGGTAATGCTTCAATCAATGGGTAATCTTACGGCAACAACTCCAGGCTGTCTGACCTGTCAGTCATGTAATGCACTGATCAAGACAGATGAGAAACACAGAGATAGTCATGCCAGACAGAAGATTACAACCTCAAAAAAGGTGTAGTAACTATGTTCTTGATCTCAGCTAAAAGCACACTGAGTGTGGAGCTAGTCTTTTTGGAACTACAACAAGTCTTCAGGTTTGGTATCAAGTTTGGCATCAGGAATACTCTCAAAATACAACATACAGAAATATTTTTCACCAAAGTGAGTATCCTGAGCCCAATTCAGGACTGCTATTCTGTTATTTGGAGAACCTTCCTTTTCTGAGAGTTAAAATGAGGTATCTGGAAGAGCCATGTTTGCTGAGGTCATATGACTAGTGAGACCTCATGATAGCAGTGAGACAAAATGAGGAAACCTGCCCTCTCCAAGTGCATGAGAGCTGTCACAGCATTGTAATTTTATACCATTTCTAAATTTTGATTAGACACGTTCATTGCATTTTACTATTGCAGCTGAGAAACACATGGTATACCATCAGGCACAAGTAACTTCTCATTAATTTATTCAATTAAGACATTATTTTCCTCTGAGCTCTCATAACAACCAGCCACCAGAACAAAATGGAGACACATATATTAATTCAATCACTTGTACTTACTGTTACTGCTAGTGTTACTGCCAGTGCTGTCATTCCTAAGGGAGCTGGCAGCAACAGGAGGAAACAAAATTGTTTTTGTGACAGCGACTCTGGAATCTAAATAGAAAATGAGTGTGTCAGCATTATGTAACTTAAAATACAGTTCTCTCTATATAAGATGATTGGCTATAGGACTACTCTGATTTCGCTATAGGGCTGTTCTAAAAATGTAGTTACAGGGCTTTTTTTTTTTAATAAGACAAAAAACAACAACAACAACAACAAAAAAAAACCAGCCATATTAAGAGACAGATGTGTCCACACACTGAGCTGCAGCTGAATAGTTATTCTGGAAAAGCAATCATTTTAAATGTGTTCTTAGGCTGTAGCACTGATCTACTTCTAGTTACTACTGGTGTAATTGGGCAACTAGACACATTGCCCTAATTAAAACAGCTAATAGCTGTCAATACAGAAAGTAAAAGAAAAGAGAATATAAAACCTCTGTTTACTGGAAGGATGAGAATGAACTGCAAGAGCCTCACACAAGTTAATTCTTTAAAATCAAGCAAACATGACCCTTTTTCAGCTATGGAGACAACTCGAGGGTACTCCAGTTTACAACTTGTCCTAGCTTCCTGTCCTTTAAGTAGTGCAATCAGGAGCTCCATTTCTACCTTATAAAAATTAAATAGCGCATCAATAGAAGATAAGATGAAGAATAAGAGCAATGTAAAAAGCCAATCCAGCATGTATTTGGGATGAAAAGAAACAGAGCAGAGTATTGTGAAGTTATTTGGATTATATTAAGGAATGATGTCACCAGAAATGATGGCATTAGCTTTACTGCCAGATATAACTCTACTTAGAACAGAAATACAAGCATTGGTACTGGTTGTAATTTTAACTTGCAGTAAAAAGAGACATGGAGATACAGACTCAGATCCTCAGCATCTCTGAAATTAAAGGAAAATCACCCATTTCTATCTACTTAGTTTCTGTTCCCTAAAACAAGAGCCATCTTACCATTCTCTGGTGTTTCTACTGTTGAAGGCAGAATACAGTCATTCTTATCCAATGTGTCTGCAAACTCCTTGTAAACCTCAATGGTACTATTAAAGACCTCAAAAAACTGCTCAGGAAAGAAGCGATGTTCTTCATAAAGGTGACCATTTTCTTTTATAAAATCCTAGGGTAAAACATAGAATTCATCTTGAAAGAGGGTCAGGTGAGACTCTAATTTCATCACCTCAACATATGATTAAAGTATGCAAAGATGACATAAAATAGCTTAAATTTTTAACCTGCAGAAGACCAAATCTGCTGTATACAACCTTAACAAAACAAGCAAGGCATCTGATATGAGGATTTCAAATTAACCTTGCAAACAGAAATAAAATATTAATCCATGGTTGTATAAATGCCAAGGAATGAAAGGCAATCTCTCATCTCATGCTGAAAACGAAGAGGTTTTACTTTTTTCTCTTCTTCTCTCTCTCTCTGTTTTTCTTCTCTCTCTCTTTTTTTTTCTTTTTTTTTTTTTTTTATATTTTTAATTTGAGATCACTCATTAAACAAACAAATAAACAAAACCTTGATTTCACATTACTTGCTTATGTTCTGCATGATCCTTTTAATCTGAATTCAGGAACACAACACAATCATAGCTATTGTCGTAAGAGTACAGGGAACAGAATACAATAGCTAGGACACACTGTGGCTTAGAAGCAGGCTGAGATCTCTGATAATGTACCTAAAAATAAGAACAGGACTATAAACAAGGAAACCCAATTAATTTGAGGTCTAACAGACAAGTTTTTTATGCCAGACTAAACAAAAATATTGAGGTCCATGTTAAGATCGTTTATGGTTGTTTTCTTTTTTTCTTTCTACCTGACCCTGGCTTTCACAACAGATGTTTCTTATGCCAGCAGTTCAAATTTGATCTGGGGTTGCTACTCCTTACTCCTAATAGGAATGGTAAAAACATGGGTTAAATTGATTTCCCTTGGCTTTAAATTAAAACCAGGGGAATTTTCCTAGTTCTTGGTTCCAAAATTGTTTCCTCTTTAATGCTGAATTTCTGTGAATTACAGGGTATTTACTTCCTTTTGCATTCTGCAAAATAAATTTCCCTTTCCCCAATCATATTCCAGTTGAGGGTCCTGAATCATAATGACAAGAATACAGAAGAATAAATAAATAAATAAATAAATAAATAAATAAATAAATTGAAGATTGGACAGAATTTGATTTGGAATGGAATGATGGGGAATATCTAATTACGGAATAAGTTCTCAGAAATATAATGGCAATATATGACAAGGTTACAAGCTTATATCACATCAAATGACATTGGGTATTTTTGTGCACTTAATTTATTCTGAATTGAAAAGGAGAGGAGAGGAGAGGAGAGGAGAGGAGAGGAGAGGAGAGGAGAGGAGAGGAGAGGAGAGGAGAGGAGAGGAGAGGAGAGGAGAGGAGAGGAGAGGAGAGGAGAGGAGAGGAGAGGAGAGGAGAGGAGAGGAGAGGAGAGGAGAGGAGAGGAGAGGAGAGGAGAGGAGAGGAGAGGAGAGGAGAGGAGAGGAGAGGAGAGGAGAGGAGAGGAGAGGAGAGGAGAGGAGAGGAAAAAAGAAGTGATTACAACAGCTAAGGACTTTCTAGACAAATAAATGCATAGAGAAGATGAAATCGTAGTCCTATAAAACATGATGAATTTGGGCCATTATTTTTCAGTGAGACAATACCATTGACTACAGAATTTTTAATTACTGATAGACTGGTTAGAGCTGGGTAGGAGATTAGAAAATTAAGTTTTCCCTATCAATTTAATCCTAGAGAATCTCATATGTTTGATCCATCAGATACCCAAAGACTCATGGAATCCTCCCAGCTGCTGCTGGCTTACAGAAACATGGAAATGGAGCAATATCCTCTAGTCTTTGCTGCACCTCTGTATAAAAAGTTACATTAAATCATGGTGAAGCTTTCTGAGCCTCACAAACTGTGATACATACTTTAAGAGTATATTAATAGTTTCAACTACATAATTTTTACATTACGTTAAGATCACTAGGAAAATATGTAATTTAAGCTGGATGTACAAGGAAAACTTCTGCTTGTTGGAAACAGACATGAATGAATTAATTATGTTAAGGCTGGTAATTTCACTACTTATATAACTGCATAAAGATCTTTGCATATACTGTAATTTCATGCAAGTCATTTTCTTTGAAACAGGAAATGACAACTATCCAACATTAGCACAATGTACTCAGTGCATCTCTAAACAAAGCAGGATTTCAGACATACAGCAATAGAAATGAAAACAAATTTTAAAAAAATAAGTAAAAGTATCCAACATAAAAGTAGAAAATCTGCATTAGATTACCTTATTTTTATCAAAAGCTAGACATGCCATAAGATCATTAATTATCCTTGTGAGATTATTGATGATTGAATAGTTGCTTAAAACATCAGACATATCGGAAATATCAGAAAATTTCTGGAGAAGACTATGTAGACTCCTTGAAAATTCAGGCACCATCAAATGCAACCAACAGTGATTAGGCTGTCAGGGGATAAAAAGAAAGACAGAGAGGTAGATTAAATATCAGACTTTTCCAAAAGCTGGTTATGCAACTCAATGTTCTAAAGATTAGATTGTTCTTTCCAATTTAAATTATCTTGAATGTCTAAATTAAAAATCTCCTTTTGTGTCAGCCAACTTTTTCTTCAGTCCTTTTGGTAAAATTTCTATTCTCACTGATACTGACATATTTATGGTTGTCTGTTTGATGCCATCCTTTCATTAAATTCTTAATGAATGCTAAGCATAAGTCTGTTGAGAATTTGAGCCTTAGGACATGCTACTATGAACCCTCTTCTATGCTTTCATTAACCTTTTTTTTCTCTCCAGACCTTTTTTTTTTTTTTTTTATAGGAAAACTATATTTTTCCTATAAAAAAAAAAAAAACTTTCCAAAAAAAAAACCAACAACTATTTTTTTATAGGAAAACTATACTCAGTCTTAATTGTATCATTGTTACCCTACATGACTCAGTTAATCTCAAAGATTCTTGACTTAAATCTCTTCTGAAGGATAATTCCCTAGATGTTTTGCTATGGAAAACCATGTGTGCCTTTATCCACCTCTGAACTAGTTAGCTCAGTTAACTTCTCTTAGTGCTTTCACTAAATGCCATTCCTAAGAATAGTTTCTATACCTAAAAGTCTTTCTTTTCCTGAGTTCTCGACAACAAAAGAGTTTTACACAACCTGTCATGGTATCTGCCACATCCGTGCCACTGGAATAGAGTTCAAACACTTTAACTGATTCCTGTGCAGCTAGATTGCAGATAAGGTTTATACAGCTGTTCACACAATTAGAACCTGGTCATTCATTTTGTTACCTTACAGGAGTCTTTAACTTATTTTACTTGGATTTATATAACAATAGTTAAGTAAATAAAAGAGCCACTCAGTTCCACTCTCCCCAGAAAAACAAAAACAAGAACCAAAACCAAACCCAAAACAAACCAAAACAATAACAAAGAAAAAAAAGAAATTGCCCTTACCAGGTATGGTCAGTAGAAAGGCAGGTAACGTGTTAATCACATGGCAACATGTATATGGAAATCTCTTCCCAATAAATATTGCACTATTCACAGTAAATGTTATGGAAATTTATTGCACATATGGAGCAATTTTTTTCAACTGGTGAAAATGTCAAATGATCGTTCAAGCCTGCCAGCCATGAAGATTTTGGCCTAGCAACCCCTAAGGAATATGTACCTTCAGTATTACTAAAATTGTTTTGAATGTTCCATGATTTCACAGAATCACAGAATATTAGGGATTGGAAGGGACCTTGAAAGATCATCTAGTCCAATTCCCCTGCTGGAGCAGGAACACCTAAGTCATGTCACACAGGAACACGTCCACGGATGTTTTGAATGTGGAGAAGGAGACTCCAAAACCCTCCTGGGCAGCATCCAATGAGATCATTCATACCTCCTCCTGCAGCACAAGGGAAAATTCTGCCACTCTACCTGTTTCTAGACTTATCTCATTTGAGTCAATTTCTGCAATAACTCTGCATACAGATTGTTTATTCTAAAAAAAAATGTATTTACTACTATCAATATCATTACCTGGAGACAAATGACTTTCTAAGTAACAGAGCTGTTCTGCCATGATCTGTATATGTCTTTGATGAGGAAGAAACATCCATACTTTCAAAGACCAACCAGATCACTAGGCTTCCATGCTTAGAGAACTGAAAGGAAACACATTGTTTAGCTCCACCTCAGGTTTCATTTTTGTGTACAAGTTTCTCACACACTACTAACAACTTTTCTGCAATTATATCAAGAGTTTAAAAGGAATGAAACACAATGTGAAACGGATAGTGTTTGGCTTGATTCTCTGCTTCCCTTTTCTCCTTCAAGCACTACAACAGGAGGAGAGAGGCAGATTCAAAAATCAGAGATGGTTTGTTGAAATGTACTCCATTCAAGCAGCATGCATTGTGTCATCTCCCATCAGGAGACAGAAAACAAGTTTACTTTTGCTTTGGTGTAGCTACTCTGAACTGCAAACCTGGAAACTTTATCTGAGGTTTTGTTCCTGTGGTTTAGCAAGTGCATGAGAATCTCCTCCGGCTGAACTGTTTTGACTTACAAAGCTGTATTCCATGGGAGCGTTAAGTTTTCTTTTCAGTAATATCAAGAGATGCATTCTCGTGCTTTCTCAATACCTATCAAACACAGGGATGAAACTGCTAAAACTGACATTATTTGTCAAGAAGAAACAGAGGTTTGACTCTGCTCTTTTTATGTGTGTAAATTTGGACTAGGAATTATATCTTGGAATACTTACAAACCTAACTTCCTCTGTATTTGCAGGTACTCGTCATTTAGTTTTTTCTTTCTACATTTATCTAAAAGTTTGGAGTTTATCTCTCCTTTTGAATTTAGCCCCTGCTGCTGTCATCTTTGCCTTTTAACCTTCAGGTTAGACTACACACTTTGCTCTATTCAAGACTACTTTTAACACCACTCAAATGCCTTGAGCTAGTGCATAATGCAACAACCATTCTGTTTAATGGATCAGGTCAGTCTGTTCCTGTTACATGCACTACACTGGCTTTCCATCTGCTTTGCATTCACTCTGCCTTCCTACCTTTAGTCATTTACATTCTAGATTTTCTACCTTGGGTACATTTCTCACTTTGTGCACACATTTAAGATTGAAATCTATTGGGGAAAAAAAAAAAAAAAAAAAAAAAAACAACAAACTGCAAAGTGTTGTTTCAGTTTTTTCAAAGCTGAACAAAAGGTGTTTGCCTTATGCAAAGCCCTAGGTTTCTCAGCTTGCAGGGACCTTTAAGATCCCAGAGCAAAACCTACATATTCAGTCAGCCCTTGCTGTGGTATGTGCTGTGGTACACAAGCTGAAATCCCCAGAGAGGAATTTGGCAGAGCAGGACGTGAATACCGCTGAATACTTCCCCCTGGGAAGGCATGCAGCCAAGAGCTGCACCTTCCCTCACCACTACTGAATGTGGTGTACAAGCAGAGTGAATATGGAAATCCCAGCTCTAAACTTCTCTTCTTCCTATTTAATTCTTGGCTACACATCATAAATGTAAACTGGATCTAGGTTTCTGGATGTGATGCAGCAAGATGACATGGCGTTTAAACTATAGAAGAAACTACTTACTGGCAGCCAAAACTAAACCACGGAGGGAGGTAAGAGTTAAGCAGTGAGAACAACTGGGAGTCCATTGCTCAAGCTGGCTCCCTGGTCTTCTTCATCCACAACATAAACACTTCCCAAGAGAGCAGCAGAGAGAACACAGCCCAGCCCACACCAGGCAGCTGCAGTGCTCATCCCTGAGTGGGGAGCAGAACCCAGGCTACGGCTGCTCTCCACTGATGCTCATCACAGCAGGCATTGAAAGGGCTGAATTGCAAAATGCACTGCAACCAGGGGATGGTGGCAGCTAGTCTTCCTGGGTAATGGTTATTTTGAGCAAATAATTATTTTTTCATTAGTTTTAATTGTATTATATAGGACCTAGTGTACATGATTTCCATAGAATTTGTTCTGCTGATTTTTTCTGCCAAAGGAGTAAAGTTTAAGGAATATGCATTCAGCAGAATTGCTATGTTCAACTTCTTTTCTTTTCTTTTTTTTTTTTTTTTCACTGCATGCAACAAACAACCAAGAGAGCATTTTCAACCCATCCTTTTAAAAAATATGGGAAAAAAATAGGGAAAAAATATTTAGTAGAATAAGCAATAAGATAGTATGAAAAAGTTTTTAATACAAAAGGCTATAACATTTTAAAGAAGGCAGAAGGTGTTTACTTAAAAGCATCATTATGTATTAACTATGGAGTTACATAGAAAGAATGTGTAGAAGGAACTTCACAGCATGTTTGAATGAAATAACATCCTCACTTTTTGTCCTTTTGTTTAGTTACTGACACTGTTATTTACTGAACTTGGGCGTCTCTTCATTGTCTAGTCCGTTTGCTGTACTTTAACAAAATTTCTAAGCTAGAATGATATTTTAGGATATATTCCAAACTACAATTCATAAGAAACTACTTGTTTAAGAAAAAGAAAAATCAATTGGCATAATGAAATAATAGCATAGTTAGGTGTATTTATTTTTTTTCCAGAGAAAAATGGTAAAAAATGGAATACGAAGAAATATTTTTGCAGGATTCTTGTAATTAGCAAGGTTTTAAGTGACTTCAGGAATCACTATATATTCCTGTCTTTTAGACGAATACTTGCAAAAGTGGAACAACTGTCCTTCAACTGTAACTTATTAAGCCATAGGACTAGCTAAAAATGTTATCACCACCACAGGTTCTAGTGGGCTGTTTTATTGGAATTATCATGAAGTGATTGTACTTACCAAGCTATCCATCTTCGGGACATATTTAAGGGTTATCATATAATCATTTGGCAGATTTCCAACCTACAATAAATAGATAATAAAAATGTTATTACCAATTACAAAAAATAAGACATCTTCCATCACATTCCATTGTTTTGTATTCAACAGAATCCATCAAATATTCAACACAGATTTGTGTAACCTACAAGCTGTAAAAATGTGCATACTGTTTCCTATAGAATTGCTACTGAATCTTATTTGCTCAGGAGAGAAGTATCTTCCCACACCTCCCTAACTTTCCCAGATCCAATCTGATCATGTTCAGCACTGCCCAGAAGAATTAAAATCACTAATGTGGTGAGAAGAAGTGATGTTCTGAGGTTATTCACTACTGCAGAATTTCCACTGCATTTCCATCTTTTAATGGCATGTCTTCAACTGTTGGGAAAATTTGTGTGGCAATTCGCATGTAACCTGAACATCTCCAAACATGCATGCCCGGTAATCTTTGACTAAGCCCTTCTCCTTCAAGTAACTTTCAACGTAAGAAGGCATTTCACAGAATCACAGAATTTTCTAGGTTGATAGAGACCTCAAGATCATCGAGTCCAACCTCTGACCTAATGCTAACAAGTCTTCCACTAAACCATATTGCTAAATTCAACATCTAAACGAAACCATATTGCTAAATTCAACATCTAAACGTCTTTTAAAGACTTCCAGGAATGGTGACTCCATCACTTCCCTGGGCAGCCCATTCCAATGGGCTCATTAAAGAAGTTCTTCCTAATATCCAATCTAAAACACCCCTGGCGCAACGTTAGCCCATTCCCCCTCGTCCTGTCACCAGGCACACAGGAGAATAGACCAACCCCACCTCACTACAGCCTCCTTTAATTTACTTATAAAGACTGATATGGTCACCCCTGAGTCTCCTTATCCCCAGGCTGAACAAACCCAGCTCCCTCAGCTGCTCCTCATAGGACTTGTTCTCCAGACCCCTCACCAGCTTCGTCGCCCTTCTCTGGACTCGCTCGAGCCCCTCAATATCCTTCTTGTAGTGAGGGGCCCAGAACTAAACACAGTACTTGAGGTGTGGCCTCACCAGAGCCAAGTGCAGGGGGACAATCGCTTCCTTAGTCCTGCTGGCCACACTGCTTCTTAAGCCAGGATGCCGTTGGCCTTCTTGGCCACCTCAGCACACTACTAGCTCATATTCAGCCGACTAACCTAACAAAATACCTGAACCTAACAAACCTAACAAAATAATAAATTTGAACCTAACAAAATACCTGCCTACCTTATGGTGACAGAAAAACACTTACGCACAACTTTAACTTTGAAGCTGTGCCTCCTACTAATGGTGAGCGATATAATTACATCACTGAAGTGTCCTGGGGCAAAGGAAAGCTTTTGCACATATCAGCTGAGCACAACTCTACCACTGTGGGTAAGTATGGGGTGCTCTGAAGCAAGGATAAGGAGTGGAGAAAGACGTCTTACTAAACTATACAATGCAGTCTCCTACAGATGGGATCCAACACTACTCTGAGATATGCTTGATATGCTATCATATGGTGAATGTGCTGACTGGGGATATGCTGCCACGATCTACAATCTCTTGAAAAACCTTGTCCAAAAGGTCTACCAGTACTGTGATACTTAGTGATACAGCAAATTTGTTCTCATTTGTATTGATTAAAGATTCAATGGATACTTCTCATCTTTATTTGAAATCCATTTAGACAAAAGATGTCAAGGATATACATAATTCCCTTCCTGAAGTAGAATCTACACTTTGTTCAGCAAAGCATTTCTGCTTCTTTGGGTTAAAGATTGTTCTGTCATGTCTGTTTCTGCTTCTGCTGCTATAGCAACCAGCAAAGTGATTTTTTTTCTTTCTGTGCAGTTTTTAGGTAATATTTTGTTTGACACAACAGAATGTTTTATTGTTAATTAAAATGTAGTTTCAATTTAAAATTGAAACAGCAATTTCAAAATGTTCAGGTTCAAGAAATGATCAAGGACAGTACTTATGTCAGTCACTAGCGACTTCCAAACATTTTTTTTTTTACACCATGGACTGAAACACAGTCCCTGAGTTCAGTGACCTCTGGCTTTCTTCTACAGCAACAAAAAAACAGGTTTTATAAAAATAACCACCATTAATTCATTTCCATAGATCAATTTTTATTTTTTTATTTATTTTTATTTTTATAACCACATATTCCCAAAGCAGCAGCTGCAGAAGTGCCACTAAAAATCTCTATATCAAATTCTGTTTACCTGGATTTTTGAGGAATTGATTCAAGATACTAAAAATAGTGAAAATTATTGCAATACATTTGTTCTTTCTTTAGAGCATCTTGAACCTTTCTGATTTATTCTAAATTCTTATCCACTCTTTTTTTTTTTGCTCTAAAACCACCCTGACATTAATAGATAATGCAGTCTCTTTCCAGCTTCCTTTGCGTGCCTAGAGAGGTAGGATTAGCAACATTTCAACCAGCAAAGATAGTGAAGATGCTACTCTGTGTGCAAAGTTTCCCCTACTCACTCTAGTGGGATTCAGTACTTAGCAATGTCAGCAAAACTACTGTTCTTTAAGAAAGGTCACTGGAAGATTAAATTTGTTCCAAATCAATGAACACTACAAGAATTGATATGCATTATGTATACAATCTACTTTACTGGCATCAGAGCCTGTCAAGCACTTTTCATGCACAGTTAAAAAATGTAACTGCCCAAGCACTCTTACAGCTCCTCAAACAAACCTGGAGAATACAGCTCAGTCTCAGATTTTTTTTTTCTTGACAGACTGTGAATCAGAAAAAATATTTTTGAACTTATTATTAAAAATGAAGATCAGTGAGGGGGGAAGGTGTCAAACACAAAGTACATGCCCTACCTCAAGACATAACAATTTGTTAAAATTTTATTGATTGAACTCCACATGCCAGATGCTCTGCTGATGATAAAAGATGAGAGCTCAGTCAAAGTGAGGTAGTTAAATTCGTGTACCAGTTTGACTTCCCAATTCACTCACAGCAAACAGGCTAGAGCCCCTGATGTAAGAGTGAAGAACACATTTGAACTAAAGCTTGCATTTCAGGCTTCCTGAAATGAATCTTGATATTTTGTTGAAGGCCAACCACCGATCCAAAAGTAACCACTTGCTTTTTAACTGCAGAATTATCCTTATGCAGGAATGAGAGTGTGGGCCAAAAAAGGGTCAAACATGGCTACACATATCTTTTGCACCTGTGCACAAAGGCAGAAAGTATTCTGTTTACCAAGGTGGCTGGCTGCTGCAGTTCCCAACCAGGAGCAGCACAATGGACAAAAGGGCTGTGAGCTGCCTGAGCAAAGGAGGATGAAACATGACTGTTCCTTGAAACTTTCTGAGTTCTGGAACAGTCTTTCAGTTCCCTTACACAAGGCCTAAAGTACAGTGACAAATCTGGAGGGTAACAAATTACCTGCCTGCATAATCTTCCTTGTTTTATAAAAGAATAACATTTTTTATGATAGTCTTGGAAAGTAACATGTACAACAAAAATAACCCTACACTTCAATTAAATTGCCCCCCTAATTTCTCTGATTTAGTGGTTGGTATAGTTGTAGAAATTTTATCAGGCTCTGAGAACAAAATATTCTTTCCAGACATGAAGAATAGGGAACTTAAGTCTTTAAATTCATATAAAAGCAATATTAAGTTCTATATTCCTAGGTGCAATAAAAACTGGGGAATGTAAGATTCCTTTTGACATACAGAGGTTTCAATATTTAATACAGCACCGTTAACATTGCATAACCCAAATATACTTTTTGTACGATTAAGTAAGTCTACAGTAAATATTACCATTTGCTGTTGTAAATTATTTCTTTTTTATTCAGAGGCACATGATGGAAAAACTTACTTTCCTTTTCCATTTCTAACTCTCATTTCTCTTATCCTCATTCCTATTTTTTTCCCATCTTGAATACATCTGCTTCTTCCCTCTTTGCATCCTCAGCTTTTCTTTTTCTGCAGGAGCTTCCACTTTCTGTCCATCATCTCTGCAATCTACTTTACCTCATCTGCTAATGAAGCAGTTAATTAAATCTTTATCATTTGGCTTAAGACAACATGGTAACAATTTCTGTTCACACTTCTTATATCCATACTGGCAGATTATCTGCACAGGATAAAAACACTGGATTCCCCCCGCACCCTGCCTTTTTTTTTTTTTTTGGTAACCCCTTCACTCAGTAGAGTTGGATCCATTCCATACATCCATACATTCTTATGCAAAATCAAAGCCACAATTACAGTAATGTAGTAGCATAGCTTTATGCTGACTTTCTATGGTGAAAAGAACAATGGGGATAGGCTTTACCGACAGGTGATGCAATTACAGTTTTATAATATGGAACATTTGTTCATCAAGTAATGTGTTTTCCTCCAGACATCTTCATTTAAAAAGAGGCAGCAGTTCAAATGATTTGTGATGCAGAATGAATACTCTCTAAATACCTTAATTCTCTATAGGTATGAAACTATGTTCTTTTAAAGTTCTCTCTATTTAAAAACAAAAAGATTGTTGAATTGTTCTTTTCTTCTGGAAATGCTGTTATTTAGGACACCTTCTACATAGTACAAAATTACATTATAAAGATTTCAATTTAATCTTACAGAAAATACTACAAGTAATTTTTGTATTAATAGACTGTTTTGGTCTTAAGTTTGTTAATACTCAGAAACCTTCATTTTATCGAATCTCTTCCTCCTTTCTATAACTTTTGCTAAGAGTCTGGTATGATGCTAGTGAAAATACAGTTTAATACCAGTGAAAGCAAGTTACACAATACATCTGTCCTCAGTTTCTTATTCAACATGAAGTTGATTAAGCTAATGAACCACATTTTTGGGCACTGAACAGTGTGTCTTATTTATTCTCCACCAGCATAGGCTTAGTAGACGTGCCTGATTTACATTCACAGAAAGTTTTGACTGGGGAATGTTCTTCTCATTTTCCTGGAATACGATAGTTTAACAGAACACAGCCACAAGAAACCAGGAAATATTTAGAAGATGCTACAACAAGCATGTAAAGCCAAAATGTGTTACAACTTCACAGGCAGTGTAAATAGTGCCTGTGAAGACAAACCAATAAGCTTGCCATTGATCATAAAACGAAAGATAAACAGCTTAAGGGAAATGAGTAGAAGATATATGGTCAGAACAGCACAATGAACAGACAGAATGGCAAAATTGTAGAGGCTGAAGGCAGAAAAAGACTTTTCAGTAGACTGGATTTTAATTCACCAAGAACCTGGAAGAAAGATGTTTTGGTATAGACAAAAAGCTACATAAACACTTTTTTTCATTTTATGATGGAAAAAAAAAATAGCATTAGAAGTGAACTTAATAAGCATTTGAGAATTGGCAAGAGCCAAAATGGACACCTTTATTATAGACCTGAATAGCTGGAGAGATTATTATTATTATTATTAAGTGTTATTACTTTACAGTGAGAAGAAAAAGGCACAGGAAAGGATAACATTTGGGGGAGATGAAGAGCTCATAGCCCTCCCATGTGGAAGATTCAGTCCATACAGAATCTAAGATGATGTCTGAATGTTTGTGAGTAAGACAGGCCTACATCCTAAGATAAATGATGGTATCTGAGTATTACTGCTGAACAGTAAGTTATCTCACACAGATATTGGACTAGATACATGACTTTGAACAAAAGAGTCCAAAGAACATGCCAGTGTGGCCAAGAATAAAGCCTGTAGAAATGACTGCCATATTGTTCTCAGCAAGCATGATAAAGATCTACTAAAAGCCTTTGTATAATAACATCACAATAACCATCGGCAATAACAGTACATACAATAATATTAGCTTCTGTGAAATCCCCAGCTCCTTCTGGGAAATCCTACAGTTTGTTCTCAGTGTGAAAGGGGAAGAAAGTGATTAAAGACACAATATTCTACTGGCATAAAATCTTTGGATCAGTGAAGAAATAGATCTATAAAGGCCTATAAAGAACTCAGTCACCTATGCAGGCTATGCCTAACGCTGAAGACAAATCTTCAGAATATAATTTCTCAATTTAATCAGCATATTTTGTTTCAAAATGCAGATGGTACATGATATTTATAGTAATTTACAAGAGTCATAGGCCCTGCCTGAACTAAATTTTTAAGCAAACATCTTGGAGTCCATGTTGTATATACTAAGGATATACTCCATGTAACATTAAAAAAATCATAAATACAAAACAAATACTTCTTGAAAACCTGTTTCCAAATCTATTGCTACCCATCCATTCTGAAAACAAAGTTTCTCTTTAATTAATCCAGATATGCTAATATACCAAAATACTAAGTGCTATGCAGAAATGTCAGTGGTCTGCTCCAGGTATTAGAACTACAGACATTTACCCATACCAAATGTACATAGCCATGTTGAGAACACCAGCACCTAGGCTAGGTTTTATTTTTTTATTATTATTATTATTTTATTTTTTTTAAAGTAGTTCAGGAATCATTCTACAGTGCACACACAGTGGTTTTTGTAGACACTTCTTAAGACTAATAGTAGTAGGATGGGAAGAAAAGATCATTTAGGAGTTCAAGTAGATATTCATGCTTTCAATGATGAAAGCTTCATGATGCAGCCATGATTTTCTGTCAAAAATTTGATAACAAATTTACAGCAAATATAGTTTTAACAGCATTTGGAATAACTGTTCTTTTCAGCTAGATAATATGGTTAGTCAGCATTCTCTGTGAGTTTCAGCCTTCTCTTATAAAAACAGTCAGTCTAATAAAAACCAAGAGTTCTTGTACTAAATTTAAGATCCTACAGTTATTTCCACATTATCTCTTCAGTTCAGACTTTATGGAAATGATTTTTGCACAAAAAATCCATGCAAATATTAATATATACAGACAAAACAGGGAAACAAAGTCTCATCAAAACATCTTCAAACACTCAAAACAAAGAGAACTCAGGTGTCTGGTGTTCAGCCTTGGCATTCTCTGTATCTGTCTGTTATTTCTCACACCCAAAACGTCTTGAAGCTTTTAGCTAACTTCACCAAAATTTTGCATTCTATAAAGAGATATGAAAGGCATATAGGTAAGAGCGACCTTATTGCTTTTTATAAGTACATTAAAGGAGGCTGTAGTGAGGTGGGGGTTGGTCTATTCTCCCGTGTGCCTGGTGACAGGACGAGGTGGAATGGGCTAAAGTTGTGCCAGGGGTGTTTTAGATTGGATATTAGGAAGAACTTCTTTACTGAGAGGGTTGTTAGGCATTGGAATGGGCTGCCCAGGGAAGTGGTGGAGTCACCATCCCTGGAGGTCTTTAAAAGACGTTTAGATGTTGAATTTAGCAATATGGTTTAGTGGAAGACTTGTTAGCATTAGGTCAGAGGTTGGACTCGATGATCTTGAGGTCTCTTCCAACCTAGACAGTTCTGTGATTCTGTGATTCTTTGAAGTCAGGAGAACAACAGTACAGCATCTTCACTGAGGAGTGGCAGAGGAGCTCAGCCCAGTTGTGTTATGCTCAGTCTTGGCAACATCAGAAGGGTAGTGCAAGCCAGACAGTAGGCAGGGTTTTTCTTCCAGGACAAGCAGTGCACATGCACCAAAATATTCACCACCCGAACTCCTTCCTTCCAGCCAGCAGCCCAAGTAAAAAGGGATATGAACCTGGTAGGAGCTCAGAACATTGCCCAGGTAGGCCTCATGCCCAGGGGCCATGGGAGGGAGCTAGCAATAAGGTTGTATGTGGAGAGAGGTGAAGAAGTGTGAAGGAGGGTGGGGTATGGATATGTAGTGCTGCAGGGGTATGTGCAAGAACTGCAGTTGCTGGACTAGACAGGAGGAAGATGCAGGAATATGATATGGAAAAATCACAGTCAAAACAAGCAAACAAACAAAAAAAAAGCAAACTTGATTTTTGTAGTATTAGGTGTATATCATAATGTATCATAAAAGAAAAGTGTGATTGCTCAAGCTGGATACAAATTTTTGTTATCTGTATTTACACATACTTGAAATTTAAATTGTACTAAAGGGAAAGTCAAATCATGTGTTCTGAAGATATATAATTGACAAAAAGTTACTGCTGACCTTGTACCAGGCAATTTCATCAGCCCTCACAGGATTTTTGTTGCTCTGTCATGCTTTCAACAGTTTTAAATCAAAGCTTAATACTCTTTCAAGAGATGAAATATTGGCATGTTTTTTTTTTTTTATGATAATACTTCAGACTTATGCCTAAAGGGACTAATGTGAAGCAGTGAGCATTTGAGAAGGACTATAGAGGACCCCCAGAGATTTGCACTATGTGCCAATGCATATAACAATGCCCAAAGAAAACAAAAACATTGCACTGGCAGCAAATGCTAGGGACTCCAAATTAAGTGTCTGATAGCATAAACTCCAGTCTTGCAACTGTTTCTCCACAACACAGTCATAATTTTCAGCTGAAGACAATATGTAAGTGCAGGTATGTTTTTTAAATGTTCAGTATATGGTATTTCTTAAAAACACCGGTGCTAGATCCTGTGGTACTGTAAGTCAACATAATCAAGGAGTTTAGTAAAGTCAAACACCAACTGACTTCACACATGAAGATGCAGTTTTTCAGGTGAATGCAGTGTTCAACTAAGTAACAGTTAAAATGTACTTAAGTTGATTTACGGATGCAGCTGTCAGTCCTTCAGATTTAAACTAATTGGCGTGACAAAGCAAGTAGAAACAGAAATATAGAATATTCTTTGTAGCCTACTCACGCCTAAGATTATAAGAGTTGTTCAGTCATTATTGCTTTGATTGCCACAAAGATATTTAATATCACATTATTTTTTATATATGGTACAAGTTTCCCAGAAAACTAAGGTAAAGACTTGTGTTTCATTTTCATGTTGTTTGTCATCAGTCTACTCCCTACATGTCAACAACACAAAGACAGTAGTCTTTCATCTATATGGGAAACAGTCTGTTCCCAGAGAATGTTTGAGGAATCAAAACTTTTGACAGTTTTTATGCAAGTTTGGAGACAACGAAACACATATGTATATATACTCTAAATTGGTCAAAGTCACCTGTTATATGTGCTGAAACTATTTTCCATTCTCTGCAATAAAGGTTTTGGTTTTGATCAAGTGACAGATGTTAATGGATTATTATTTTTTTTAAGCATTCTTCTAGTTCTAATCTAGATTTGTTAACTTTCCTTAAAAATGTAAGGCCATTATCCAATGATTATTGTTTAACATAAAGAATAATTTAAAATAAAAGCTACTTACCAATTTTGCAATGTCATTTACATCATCTGTCACTGGATTCCCGCAGGAACTCTGGGCTTTGACAAGAGGATTAAGTAGGAGTAGTTGAAGACAAAAGCAAGTGATAATCCAAGTCTATATTTAATAATTAAAAAAAAAAAAAAAAAGGAAATAAAAAAAGAAAAAAAAAAGTGAGTAATCTCCAAACGAAGTAATAAGAGACTGTAGCAATGTTTTTCATATATGAAGTCAAGATGCAACAATACTTTCCATCTTTCATGAGCATGTACTCATACTGCTATATGGCAGGGGTCCACAGAAATGCACTTAATTGATCTTTTGTGGAAGAAAGTGTCTTTAGAGTAATAATGGAAAACTTATTGAGCTGTCAGATTGCTTGCGTGGAATCCTGCTGGACTTAATCACCTAGTTAAGATTCTGCAAAGTTAACAGATACCAAAGAAGAGAAAAAATCACTATATTCTTCATCATCGATATAAAACTAACTAAATGCTTGTCTTTCATCTGATAAAGTATTCAATAAACCTGTGTCTCTAATGTGATAATGGATGATAAGGAACAAAATGGTAACAGACCACAGCAAGATAAAAGGCAAAAGTTTTCATCACAGCCATTACATTTACAAACTTAAACTGTAAGCAAAACCATAATTGGCCCTGCCCAAATACTGAGGTCTTAAACAGCAATACCATATACTTTTTTTTTTTTTTTTGTTCCTAAGTGACATACCCTGGCCTATCGGTAGCAGTAGCTTGGCTTTGAAACTACCTTTCTCACTAAATCCTATTGGAAGAACAGTGTAATGTACTTCAACAGGCTTGTGAGATTCGGACAGAACAGATAACTAGAACTAGCTGTAATGCACCTGGGTGTCTCCTTGGCTACATTGCCTAACTTCCATCACCTTCTGCTGTTCCTTTGCTTTGCTGGTTTTCCACAGAGACCTGTGCCAAGTTTAAGCTGTAGATCTTCATTTCCAGAATGTTAAAGCATCTAAGTTATGGATAATCAAAAGTTGCCTCTGGTTATAAAGCTTCTTGTGCCAGCTGACTGAAGCTGTCAACAACAGTCAATGATGCGTACATATACTGCAAGTATGGAATTTGCCTGTGCAGGCTCCCAAGCCTCCAAAAGGGCAGGACTGGGACCAGCATTTGCTTCTGCACGAACTGTGACACATCTCAGGCTCATCTGTTCTCTGCATCAGGTAGAAGGCTCACACCTTCAGCCTGGACTTCCTCACCCCTCAGTTTAAAACCAATGCAAATCAAACAGCAGGGATGAAGTTCTTTACAAAAGCAGAGAGATAAAATTACAGATTTAAAGTACTGAATATCATTATAGTAACCTAGAAGGGCTAAAGAAGCATGAAAATTAAGATTGCTTGGAAGCTACGTTATTAACATGAGAGAACAGTGCCAGGCACTTTACCCAGAATTACTAAACAACAAGTAAATCTCTCTCTTCTCTTTCTTAAATCTTACATATATCTTATATCTCAAGTAAAACTTGTCAATTGCTTTCTTAGACTATGGCTTCCTGACTTATTTAGGCAAAACTTCAGTGTGGGCTGCAGCTGAAAAGGATAGTCTGGCCTTTTGTCTTCTCTTCTCCCATGCTGTCGCTAGTGAGATGGCTGAGTAAGCTGTAACAAGCAGACAACTTCCATTCTTGTTAACTGCATGATCCTTCAAGCAGTCCAGCTTTCTAATCTAGCTAACTACAAAATCATGGAAGAGTGAGTACCCATACACAGAGACAGCAGAAATGCCTGGTTATATTTGTACAAATAATCACCAGGAGAAAATAGTAGAAGTAGTGTGAAGGGAGGTACCTAATATTCTTTAAAAAAATAAATAAATAAATAAAAATACACCACACAAAGCTTTGAAATTGTGCAAACAGAAACAATCCAAGCTCTTGGGAGATGAAGCTGTCAGGCTCAGAGTGATGCTTGAGACACAAAAGACAACAACTCTGTGTCTATTTCTGGCTTTCTGATGAAAGGGTAGTGAGACTTGGAATGTGGGGGCCTGGTTCTGCTGATTTTCCTCCTCTTGAGTAATTTGGCCGACCTCATTGTGTTTGTTCCTCTGCTCTCTGTTTTGCATGTAGAAGTGACCAGGATGCTGTCAGTCTCTGAAAGGACCTTTGAGAGCTCCTTGCAAAATTCGTGTATATGACCTCAAAGCTTAGAGAGAACTAGCTTTAACTGGTCAGAGAAACATCTCCCCCTCTTCATATAAGCTGCAGAATTGAAGAGGAAAGCAAAGGGGACCTCAGTTAAGAGACTACTTTCCCACTGCAATTTTTTGAACAAAATTGTTGTAAAAAAGACAATAAATTTAGATAATGAAATGGACTAGCTATACTGTTTTCAAGTAAATACATATACATAATATATACATTATAAGTATTTACATTATATATATATGTATTGTTTTATCTTCAGAATTAAACAGTCACTAACAATTACACTTCCTGAGGATCAGGGATGTTTTCCTGATTTGTTCTATGGAGATGGAGTCCATGCCAGAAGTCACTGATTTCTTTATTTGGTTCCTCAGAATTGAGAAAGATAGAAGTAAGTAAATGAAGATGGAATGTTTTTCTCTGACTTGTGTCAGTGTCGTAGCACAGAATTTGACCTATCTAAAAATCAGAAAAGTAACAAAATTCATTCATTGGAAATAGTGTGTTGTTTGTTTGTTTGTTTTCCAGATCAACTCAGTATTATGAAAACAAACAGCAGCACACTCTAAATAAGACTAGAGAACTCTGATGTATCTTGTCAGTTTTCATACTTCGTGACGCAAAAGGACAATCCATAGATGAAGTTTAAAAATCTCCACTTATTTTGTAATTATGCAAATCAATAAGAATGCAATGCTTTGGTTTTTCTTTTTTTTTTTTTTTTTTTTTTTTTTTTGGCCCAGGGAAGTAATGGGATTTAAAAGCACAGTCATTTTTATAACTGCTGTTAAAAACAAATGTGTTGTAAATTTTGAGATGATTTGAGGCTTTTCTTGCTTATTTGTCCTATGTCATCCAACAGGAACTGAAAGTCTGAAAAGTACTGCTAGTTTCAACATGCCTATCATCCAAAATCTTTTAATTATTTGCACTTACAAAATATTTATATTACACATGCCTATAGGCACATTGTTCGTAAGGACTGAAGAGATCAAAGAGGTATGCTATTTCTGTGTTATTTACTAATGACCAAACCTGCTGTTTGAGCAAAACTTGAATAGACTGAATTAAATCAAAGACAGAACAAAAGGGAAGCTTAAACAACAGCTTTATAAATAGAGATTCCAGTTTTACACTTTACTAAGCATAAATGAGAGTTACCCACACAGCAGTCATAACAGATTTCCATTTATAATTACTTCTCAGCTAAAATGATATTTTCAAAGTTGGCCACAGGATTTAATCACACATCATCACATTACCTATCATAAACACCTCTATACCATAGGGCCTTGTTCTATATTAGTTTAAAAAAAGTCAGTGCTATTTAATTGTTTTCATGTTCTGAAATCTCTTAAATGCTGAATTTACGAGATTTCTAAAAGATGCTTTTGGAAAAAAAAAATAATGATTAGACTAGAAAGGATAATTCAGATTAAAAATGTGTATTATATACAAATCATTCTGCAAAAGATTTTTATCATTGCCACAATCTATAATTTCAATTAACAGTTTTTTAGAGGCCTAGCTAGCTAGCGTGTTGAAGGCTGTCATTTCAGTTGTAAATCAACAACTTTTTCATTCAGGTTGTTCGCTTATGATCTGGAGTGTTGACAAAGGCTGATGAATGAATGTCTTTGACACTTTTTCACAGTATGATATCCAAGATATTCAATTACCCTGGTTAATGTGCAGCTAGATTCTTAAGTGAAAAAGCAGAAAGGGGAAAACCACATTGCTAAATAAGCAAAACATTGGCAAGTCTGGATATTTCCAAATATCTAGTTCATACTGAAAAAAAATTTAATTATAACTAGGAAGAAATCATCAAAATCAAACAGAAATAATAAAATGAAAAAATAATTAAGCACAGGGAGAGATAGAAACTGCACAGATGAACAGGTTCTACATTTTACAGTTTCTTGCATTCAGAGCAAGTTAGCCACAGAACTTTTCACTTCAGTTTCTTGAGTAAACCAATTAACCACAAATAAGACACAGCTGAAGCAGGATTAGCTGACAATGTAGAACAGTATTCACCCTGGGCGAAGCTTTCCAATTTTTTTTGTTTTGTTTGTTTGCTTTTTTTTTTTTTTTTTTTTTTTTTTTACTTCTTCTAATGCTGGGGTAGGAACATCTCAATATTGGATCCTCAGGCTACTTTGTTCATGCTGCTTTGCTGAGGCACAGCTTGTGAACCTCTGCTATAGACAGCATTGGCTTGGATAGTCATGGATAGCTAACTTAATGTTTGTACCTAAAAAATGGATAGCTAACTTAATGTTCATATCTTAAAAAGCCTTTTGTAACAAGAAACAGAAAATTTTGTAACAAACAGAAAATGAAAATAGGAAAAAAAGATCTTTCTTGCCCCCCCCCTTTTATTTTTTCACAGAAAATGTATCCAGAGCATAAAAGTACAATAATTATTTGATATGCCTACTGAGGGACGTAGTTATTCAGCTGTGTTAGAGACAATTAAAGACATGGAAAAACTGTTTTTAACCAACTAATTTTGGCAAGTAAGTTTTGAACTGGAAAGTTTCCTTCATACTCTCAGGTACCCAGGAGATAACTTCAGTGTAGTTAGAGGAGCCATTGCATGAATGCTATGCATTCAATGCTATGCATTGAATAATGCATAGCACTAAGTCCAGTATGCAACCTTTACTGTCCTTCAGAAGGCTGGTACTAGTCTCACAGAATATAATAGCCTATAGATTAAGGTGGTCACTAATGAGTGGCAGATCTAGGTTAAACTTCCTCCAACCACAGTAATTTTAGCTCACAGGAAATTTTGTATGGTATCTACCTCCTAATTACCAAAGAAGGTACTTTTCCACCTGTGACATCTTCCTTGTTAGAAGGGGGATACATAAGTATTTCTGACTGCTTCTCTCTCCCCTCGCCCCCCCCCCCCC